ACAAAAAATTGCAGATACTGGAAATCTGCAACCAAACCTAAAATTTCTGGAGTAACTCATCAGGACTGGCAGCATCTGTAGAGAAAATAAAAGTTCATGTTCGAGTCCTGTGACCTTTCTTCAGAACTATTCTGAAGAACATTTCAAAATGTCAACTCTTTTGTCTTCATAGATGCTACCATGCCTGCTGAGTTTCTCCAGCAATTCCTGTTTTTGTTTATGTCATAGGTTTATGGTTCTTCTTATGATTCAAGTTAATAAACTTAGACTAACAAATGTGAAAATGCTTTGAGGCAAAAGGCTTTTACTCAAAGCCATAGCTATGTTTTAGAATGGCTTCGTTGCATTGCTTAAAGCAGTTATTTTGATACACACACACACGGACCAGGTTCTGAACTTCAACAGTAACCATCCCAGCACACATGCAAACACTACTTAAACGGGCAAGACACTGCAGCAACACAGAACTACGCCAAGAGGAAGAAGAATACCTCTTCCAGGTTTTCAAGGATAATGGATATCCAAAAAAAACTGGGTCAGTAGACGTCTACACGAACAACATCAGGAAGATACTACACGCCCCAACACACTCATCACACAACCCTACATCAGGAACACATTGGAACTAACCACTAGACTCCTACGACCGCTGGGCATCAGAGTGGCACACAAGCCCACATCAACCCTACGACAACTGCTTACCCGAACTAAAGACCCACTCCCTGCCATGGACAGGGCCAATGTCATCTATAAGATCCCCCGCAGAGACTGTGAGAAACACTACATCAGACAAACAGGAAGGAAATTAACAAGGGTACACGAACACCAACTGGCTACAAAAAGACACAACCAATACTCACTCATCTCAATCCACATGGATAAGGAGAACCACCAATTCGACTGGGACAACACCAAAATCCTGGGACAAGCTAAGCAGAGACAGGCATGAGAATTCCTAGAAGCCTGGCACTCCACGAAGAAAGCCATTAATAAACACATAGAACTCGACTCCATATACACTCCACTACGAAGGAAAACCGGAAGTGAGGCAATCCAGCTCAACGGACTCCAGAGACTAAAAACCAGGCAGGAAAACACACCAACACTTCATTGGAGGTTGCACTGCTGACGTTACCCAGCATGGTAACGAAATGTCTGCGGAACAACAAACCAGCTCCACGAGCCAACCAACCTCAATATCCACAACCCAAGCTACAAATCTACTCCAAAACCTTAGCTATTTTGAAATTTAACGTATTTCATATGTCAGCAGGTATTGTGGAATCATGCATAGTTCTTTTAATTAAAGGATATTGATAGAGAATAAAATCCTTACATTGTGGAAACAGGCCATTCGGCTCATTGAGTCCACACCGACCCTCCATTCAGCGTGTGACCCTAGTCACAAACCAAAGTTTGGGGACTACTGTTTCACTGGTTTAAAGGTGATACATAAAACAAATACATTTAAGTTTAAAAGCTCAAGGGAAATTGAGTTTTAATATTGGATTGAACGTTCAACTGAAACCAGGATAATGGACAAATATGATTCCTTTAACTATATGCTCTCTCAAAACTCTACAGGAGCAAATGAAATTCATATTTCTTCCCTAAACCTCACAGCCCCTCGACTTCTCACCTCCTTATTTCTTGGAGCAAGCTTTTGGTCACCTCTCCTAATACTTCTTGTCCATCTTGTCTAATACCTTGGATATTCTTATGGCAGAGATACATATACATTACTATACTTATTGGTCAGGACCAAGTACACAGGTAAGGTCCCCATGTTCTTACAGTTTCAGATGGAATACCCAAAACCATTAAGGAGTCATGAACTGGCTCACCTCTTTTCATCCAGGCCTCTGTTGGACACAACATTGATTTTAAAAATGATCCCTCCCTTGTGGATGCCTCTCTCTCAGACTAAATGATTTAAAAGAAGCCAATTTAATAAGGCTTGAGTTAACAGAAGAGTGAGCTTGTTAAGTGCTAAAAGCAAACATGATTGGCATGCAACACCGATAACAAGTCGCAAATGGGAGGTTAAATTTGGATAAATGTATTGCATTTTGGTAAAACAATAAAAGGACAGGACTTACACAATTAATGGTAGGGTCATGCCTAGGTTCAGGCATCTAATTCTCTGAAGTTTGCATCACAGCCGGACAAGGTGGTTAAGAAGGCATTCAGCAACTTGCCTTCATTGCTCAGACTTTTGAATGTAGGAGTTGGGACACCATGTTGAATTTGTACAGGATGTTGGTGAAGCCTCTTCTGGAGTACTGTTGGCTCTGTTGTAAGAAGGATATTATTAAACCAGAGAGGATTCAGAAAAGATTTACCAGAATGTTGCTGGGAATGGAGGCATATTTTAGGGCGAGCAGAGAAAGATTTTTAAAAAAAGACATGAGGGGTATTGTTTTTTTAAAAAAAAAAAAGGTTAGCGTGTGGAATGAACTGCCAGAAGAAGTTGTTGATGCAGGTACAGTTACAACATTTAAAAGACATGTGGATATGTACATGAATAGGAAAGGTTTGGGGGCATACGAGCCAAACACAGGCAGGTGAGACTAGTTCAGTTTGGGAATGTCGTTGATGTGGAACAGTTGGACGGAAGGGTCTGTTTTTATACTGTATGACTCCATGACTCAAAACACTGAATCAAAAAAGTTGAGACATGGATCAGCTTCTCCGGACAGTTTGTGAAGTGTAGATAGAAATTTTGTAGTAAATATTGTAATTCTTGTCTTTAACTGAAGTACTTTTGTTCTGTTTCACTGACAAAACCCAGAGCAGAGCAAAAAATGAAAAAAAAAAAGTAATTCTTGTCATTTCCTTCTGATTGGTACTGGTACTGAGCTCGCAGATCAAAGAAAGCACATGCAACGGGCCTTAATGACCACCGCCCAGTGGCTCTGACCTCCATAATCCTGAAGTGCTTCAAGTGGCTGGTCATGGCACACATCAATCCCCTGCAATTTGCCCACTGACAATAACAGACACCATTTCCCTAGCCCTGCATTCATCCTTGGAACATCTGGACAAGGACACCTAGGTTTGAATCCTATTTGTCGACCACGATTCTCCTTCAACACCCATAATCCTCTCCAGGCTAATCTCAAAACTCCAAAACCTAAGGCTGGGCTCTGCCCAGCCCACTACAAGTGGATCCTCAGTCTTCCTCCACAAAAACGCTCAACACTGGAGCTGCCCCAAGGACACATTCTCAGCCCCCTACTATACCCCCTGTACACCCAAGATTATGCTGCCGAATTCCAAATGAATGCCATCTATAAGTTTGTGATGACACCACAGTGGTAGGACAGATATCAAACAATGAGTCAAAATACAGAAAGGAGATAGAGGGCTTAGTGGCGCGGTGCAATGAGAACAACCTCTCTCTCAATGTTGGCAAAACTAAGGACTGATCATTGACTTCAGAAAGAAAGGAGAGGGGCATACTGCCATCTACATCTATGGAGCTAAAAAGTGGAGAGGGTTGGGAATGTCAAGTTCCTAGGAGTGGTGATAACAGACAATCTTTCCTGGACTTCTCATGTCGATACGACAGTCAAGGCGGCAGAACAATGCCTCTTCTTCCTCAGGCAACTTAGGAAGTTCGGTATGACCACAAGGACCCTCACCAACTTTTACAGATACACCATAAGAAAGCATACTATCCAGCTGCATAACGGCCTGGTATGGCAACTGCTCTGCCCAGACTGTAAGAAACTACAGAAGGTTGTGTGCATAGCCCAAACCATCAGGGAAGCAACCTCCTATCCATGGACTCCACTTACAGTTCTTGTTGCCGCAGAAAGGGTGTCGATATCATTAGAGATCCCTCCTACCCCAGTACTGCTCTCCCATAACCTCTTTTGTCAGGCAGAAGATACAGAAGCTTGAACACACACCAACAGGTTCAAGAACAGCTTCTTCCCTGCTGTTTCTAGACTAAATGAACAGACTCTCTAACTTCAAATAATGTTGATCTTGCTCTGCGCAGTTCTGTGACCTGTATGCCTCGCTCTGTCCAAGCGCTCTATGATCTGTGCGTCCTTGTTTGCTATGATCTGCCTGTACTGCTTCCAAAACAAAGCTTTTCACTGTACTTTTCACTCTTCAATAGCAATTGGCACCAGGATAGTAGTACACATGAATTTTTGTTCACTAGTATACCTTCTTCCAATGTTCATATACAGTCATAGAAGTCTACAGCACAAAAACAAAAACAGCTCTTCAGCCCACTGAGTCTGCACCAGTCAAAAAACATCCACCTGACTAAATGGTGAGTCCAGTTCAGTTTCTGGTCAATGGAAAACAGAATATCGATAGTGGGGGAAATTCAGCAATGATGCCATTAAATATCAAGCAGTAATGGTTTGATTCTTTCCTTTCAGGTAGTATTGCCCGAGACAAATGTTACTAGCCACCTTTCAGCCCAAGGCCTGGCTGCTGTCTACGTGTTGCAAATACAGCTATGGACTGCTTTATTATTTGAAGATTGGCAAATGGTGCAGAACATTAAGCAATTATCAGTACATTCTCACATTCTTACCAAAAAGAAAGGAAGGTTATTGTTGAAGCAGCTGAAGCTGGTTGTGCTGAGGAACACTACCCCTGACGAAGATGCAGCGATGTCTTGGATCTGAGATGATTGACCTCCAATGGCAACAATCTTCCTTTGTGCCAGCTATGAATCCAACCAACTGATAGTTTCTTGTCCATCCAATACCATATTTCAGGTTTGCTAGACCTCCTTTATACCACACTTGGTTGAATGCTGCTTTGTTGTCTATTCACTCCCACCTCACCACTGGAGTTCACCTCTTTTGTCCATGTTTAAAGAACCACTGGCTTCAAAATATCTGATAATTTATTTTCAAAACAACCCACCTGGTTCACAGATAGTGCAAACATTTGGCAATTTATTCAGTAAATCACCAATTTTATTATTTCCAATTAATTTATTAGAGACAAAATACCTCAGTAGTTCCATCAGAAGGTAACAGATGAAATACAATTTTGTATTAATTATCCTACTTTATTATAACTGTACATTTACTTCCTGTACCAAGTTGTAGAGTATATAAAAAGGTCCACAACTGCAACTAAGTTGCCAATTTCAACTTGAGCAAAACATATCCCCATCAGTGAATACTTGAATAAACAAGCCAGCTTAAACCAGAATACTCTTGCATGCTGTCCAGCAGCAGCACCAAGACAGGGGTGTGGCAATAGGTCACCACACCACCTTAAGGCTAAGGAATGATACGAGGAATAAAAGATGTAACATTGGCACTAAAAGACTGGCAAATTATTTTACAAAAATGAGGATTGAGCATCCAAATAAAGTACAACTTAATGAACACTACTTGAGACAATTAATAGCATTTCAACACCAACAATACAAAAAAGTGAGTATATTCAGTGATTAAGACTGACTACAGTAGATGATAGCATTTAGGCGATAATCTAATTTGTTACATGCATTTTGAGTTTAAACTTGAAATGTCAGAAATCATACAGTAAAATGTTTTTAACTGTGCAAAACCTAAGAGTCTGTATTTGCTACTAGTTAATTAAAAGAGTGTTTACCCAGACCCTCATATTGAAATCTTATTGATTCCTGTGTGTGGATGGTCCAACTCATGAGTCAAGGACTATGAGGTGCAGACAAGAAAGTGGAGCTGAGACAAAAAAATTAACCATGATCTTATTGAATGGTGAAGCAGTCTTGAAGGACCAAATGGCCTGCTGCTCCTAAGTCCTATGCTCTTTCATGGTCTCATTATATTATGGTAGTCAACATATTTATTATTTACAAGGAGGGAGCAAATTTCTGTCATCACATATGACCACTTGCATATACTTTCTAGTGGATTTCACACTGGAGCTTAATGTAATGTAAATTACAGCCAAAAAGCACAGCATCTTCTGCAGAGCATCTGGGAGCTGTGAAAAGAATGGAAATTTCTAAACTTGTCTATCTCATTCATCAATTACATTTAAGAATTGCTGATTAGCAGAGACTGAACCAGAAATTGGCATTTGAATATGGAATTCAATACAAAAATGGGGAGGGGGGGACATGAAACAGAACAATTGAATTGAGATAGCAAGGCAGAAGTTAAAATAATTAACTGCTAATAATTAAAATCTGAAGGAATTAGATTGTTACACCTTTTAAAATTAAATTCAATACCAGAGATATTGTTAAAAGGATACATGCAATGGAAGGTAAGTCCCACATTTTCCTAATAAATTTACTTCTCATTTAGGAGGTAAGTATAGCAATGGCACACTATTCAACAGCAAAATGCCATTTTAGGAAACTTGCTGAAAATATCACATTACAAACTGCAACCTCCAAAGTCCTGCATTTGACAGTACATGCTTGCACATCAGACTGTCCAATTTTTAAGTAAATAATGGTGAGAGGCTGTTAGACCCATCATGCCTTTTAACTGCAAAACCCAGTCAATTCTGCCATTATTAGAACAATGGTCATAATCTCCAATGTTTTCTTCGTGTCCCTACATCAAGATAAACAGTCAAAACAATAAGATAATGGCCGAGTGGCACAGTGACATTAGTGCATTAATGCACTGTATGCAGGCGTTTTCATACTGTAGTTTCTCCACACAACAACATGTACACTAGACGGTAGTCTTTTTTCCCCCCCTCAAGGACAACTAGGAATGTGAAATAAATATTACCTTACTTGCATTGAAAAAAAAAAAAAAAACCACTGTCTAGTATATGTTAGGAGCCACATTTGAACTAATGCCAAGCAAATTGCAGGTGCTAGAAATCCAAAAATGCCAGAAACGTATCAGGTCAGGGAACATTTATGGAGAGAGAAGCAGAGCTAAGGTTTCAGGTTGATGAGTTTTTGTATGAAATGGAAATACAGATGTTACAAAGTTTTAAGCAAATAGAGACAGAGAAAGAGGAGAATAAACATCTGGGAAGTTCTGAAAAATAGTGAAAGGGCAGAAAGGGTTAAACCATGAAATGATACTGCAAAGTAGAAGATGATAATGGAACAAGAAATAGAAGATACATCTAGATGGTAATGGGAACAGCAGAATTATTTCCACAGTTGTCATCGCCAAAAGAAATTAGTGCAGAGATTACCAGACTTCAACATTCATCTACAGAGTGCATAACCAAGAGACAAGATGCTATTGCCCGAAATGATGATGAGCTTCATTGTTACAATGTAGGAGACCAGGCACAGGAAAATCAATGACAGACCATAAGAAACTCAGCTTTTCGGACCAAACGAAGATGTTTGTCAAAGTGTCATCCAATTCGCTCTAGCATCTTCTACGTAGAAGAGACTGTCATGACCAACAAATGTAATAAATTGAAAAGAACAAGATAATTGGCGTTTTAGCAGCAATATTTAGGGCCCTGGGAATAGAGATGATAAATATACAGTACTGCATCTTATGCATTTGCATGGAAAAACGAAAGGTTGTTGGGCATGCACCAGGGTGTCACAGATAGTGGTCTTAATGTGAAAAAAAGAGGAGGGCAGGAGAAAATATGTTTGCTGTTGAAATGGCTGAAATGGCAGAGTATCTACAGAATGTGAAAGGTGGTAGATGAAAGGTGAGTACGAGAGAACTTATGATGTAAGAAGGGAGAGAAGAACTATAAGCACAAGTGTTAAGAAACAGTAAAGCCAGGGCTATGTCAACCAAGGGGGTGTAGTGGGAGCAGAATCATTAATTGATGAAAACAGAAGACATGTCAGATGCACTGGTATAAAATATTGACTTTGTACCCATTCTGAGAGGGTTAACTGAGAAACAATGAGAATAGAAGAGAGTCCTTAAAGGAAGCAAGGCAAGAGGAAATGTAGTCAACAAGCTTCTAATGAATATTGGCTGACAATTTAGAAAAAATGAGACAGTTAAGGTTAAAAAAACATTGAGACAGACCATGTGAAGATGGAAAAAGGGTAGAAACTGGAAGCAGTGTTGACTAAGGTTTCCAGTTTATGGCAAGAGGAAAGATCTTTTGTTTTATTCCCAAAAAAGGCAATGCTATGGACCCATGTAGGTTCTTGATATTCCTAGCTTTTCATGGAATGAGGAACACTTTCTTGAAACAGATATCTATTGTCTGTCATTTTGCAACTAGGATTAAGGCAACACAAAAATTAACACTGAGAATACACCCTTAAAATATGCCAACATTATTTGCTTAGTTAATTACTTACATCAATAAATGGTGCATAATACTCAAAATTATATTTCTGCTGTGTCAAACAGTTTTCCTTTAACACTTAATGGTTATTGGATCAAACTGAACTTGCCATATATGGTATTCAATGAATAAACTCAAAGTGAATGGCTTCTCTTAAATTTCAACTATTTATGTCCAATAAGTAACAGGGTTCTGAAAACGTGACTGAAAATTATTGTATAATATGCAATGTAACATTCACTTTTAGCACCAAGGATCTTCAAATACCATTACCACAGAATTAAGAACTGAGGTCGATAACCGAGAAAATCTCATTAGCAGCAGCTTGCCACAGTTCTGAAGGTATTACATCCTGAAACTCCGGGTTCTATTAAATGGCTGGAATGATTTCTTCATTGTGAAAAACATGAACTGTGGTTTGAGCTTTGATTTTTCAGGAAAGACCACTGCCTCACTCTCTGCTGTTGGAAACCGGTTTTTGTATATATCAGGGTAGGATTTCTGAAACTGAAGAGAGACGAATAAAGACCAAATTATATTAAACCAATACTGCATTGTTTTATAAATTCATACAAAATTTCCAATGCAAGTTGTAGCCCTCTTTCACTAGAAACAAGACAATAATTGCCTCAACAACCTACAAAACAGTTCTCTGAGTAAACAGTTTACTGGGGTTCCAATGACTGACACAGCAAATAGGTTTTTAAGATACTGTGAAATTCAATTTTCTATTCTGAGCATTCAAGGGGAATAAATATATAATTATCCATCTAGGGTTTGGTGGTTATATTGATTAGGTTGAAGACAGTCAAGCAACTGTCTTTAAAAAGTCACATCCTACTTACCAAAATTGCAGTTTCATACGGTATGATTTACACTCCTGTTGTCTGGATAACAGTGATATTGCACTCATATTTTTTAAATTATAGTGCTCACATGATCACTTATGGGGAACTGCTAATACTATATAGTATTACTGTATTAATACTATGCAACCAGCAAACATTCAAAATCAAATTTGACTGATTGACTGTGAATATCTTTCATGGGAAACAAAGAAGTGAACAAGCTCCCCTTAGGTATCAGATGGCCCCAAATGATACAGCCGGTTATGGAAGTTGATAGCCAAGTCAATTTTCTCTGGTAAATACATGAGCCAGTCAGTCTGGAACTTGGAAGAGTAGACCAGGTTCTGGAAGTATGGATTCTTCATGTTTTGTTCCAGATAACCTGACAAATAAATGCTATAGTTATTTCAATGGTCCCAAGGAAGTTATGAAATATCTGAAGATTAGTCATGTAGCCTTAGTTGATTAAGCCCCAGCAATACTCCTGCACATAGCTGGGGATCTTATTTCGCTGTCTGGACTCAATCTGTTTTCCTATGCAGTAACGACTGTAGATATTTTAGTAAACTGAATTTTGGATTTTTAAATGTGACAATACATTTTAGGATGTTATAGACAACCAGTAGATTCTGTATCCAAAGAAATTGATTATTAAAATGAACAGCTCATCAGGTGACATGAGCAGCAGTATGGACAGAGAACATTCCAGATTTGACCTCTAGACACAGTTGAGATTGCTCTGGTGTGGCAGCAGATATGCTAATTGGATACAGCATCTTTGAGCTAGAGAGAAAAAAAAGTTTCAAGAAAGATGCATTGCAGGCAGCGGGCAATGTAATCTTTTATTGTGGCAGATGAACACTGCAGTCTCTGGAGCTTCATATGACAACAATGAAAACAACACATAGAACAGAGCATATTGCCAATGTCATCATATTTGTATGTACTGGACACAATTTCCCTACGATCAAACTAGTTTCAGTCCTACCTTAATTGGAGGGTGCAGAATGAAGGAAAGCTACACTTTAAGGAAAAACATTTATGAAAATGTTAGAAATAAGCAATACCAATAAAAATTGGAGTTCTTAAATGCACAACCTGCTTTAATTTCTTCTTCTTCTCTTTCACAGAAATATTTTTATTCATTATTATTTCTTCTAGCAGGGTTGCAACTGTGGCTTGAGAACCTCTCTGTTCTTTACAATCTTCAGTAGTAATCTGACAAGAGGTGTAAGAAGCCAGTGTAGCATCGGTGTCAGCATCTGCATATTTTATCTGGCAAAAATAACATTTAATTTTGAGGACCTTATTTGATAAACGTTTAATCAGCCAACCTGTAAGAATGAGTTTCTAACATTTTAAAAATACTGCAGGAGTGTTGTTTGCATATTATTTTCTAAATAGCATTATTCCTTCTGAATTTTAAAAAATTACTTCACATTCCATCTTAAATCAAATACTCTTTAAAGTACCTGAACTCTTCGGAGATGGGCTAAATGTTCCTCTACTGCACTTTGTAGATGGTCAGGAGCTCTCAAAATATCTTGGCAATGGTCCATCATGAAACTTACAAGTCTAGTAGCAAGCAACTCATCAAGATCCACTTCATCCTCTGAACACAGGATACAGCGAGAGAAGGTTTGAATCATCTTCAATTCGAAAGAAAATGATTTGGGTTGGAGATTGAAAACTAAAATTTTCTAGGTTAAAATTTAAAATATTCAAAAAAGGTCCTTAGGAGAACATCTGTGAGAAATGGATAAATGAGTCATTTGACCTGGCATTAACAGAGGGATCTAGGCAGACAGGTCCACAGTTCCCTGAAAGTAGCAACCCCAAGTGGATAAGGTCGTCAAGAAGATTTATAGCATGCTTGCCTTCATCATTCAGGACAGAGTATAAAAATTGGCAAGTCATGTGCAGTTGTATGGAACTTTAGTTCGGCCACGTTTGGAATATTAAGTACCGTTCTGTTCGCCATTAGGACGTAGAGGCTTTAGTGAGGGTACAGAAACAGTTTACCAGGACGTTGCTTGAATTGGAATAGGAAAACTCTCACATTGGGATATGCCTCATCATCTCAGTAGTTACAAGGTAGTTTTGTGAACTGAGTCAACTGTCAAACTCACCAACATTCTGTTTGCAACAGCATCATGAAGTGGTGGCATTTCTACATTTTGAGCAATACGAGTGATCATTCGCATTAGGAGTTGCAGCTTTCTTCGGTTTTCCGGGGGCAAAAGGAGGCAACAAACTTGAAGAGCTTCGATACCATCTTTCTTTCGTTGCAAAAGACCTAGCTTTCATAAAAGAGCAGAGTTAAACCAATAGCCATTGGATCCATATCCTGTTGTTATGAGCAAGTAAATTAAATCTGAACAAAAATAAGTGATAAGGAAACAGACTAACGACTTCAGAAAATGTGACTCAATTTCTTTACCACAAACTTGTGAACATCATTCCAAGCTTATATAATACAACTTTTAATCAGTTCTTTATTTAAAATAAATATTGAAAATATTCAGAATTCTGAATAACTTCTATTCAAAGAAAAAATGAAGCCAGTTATGAAAGTAATTTCCAGGAAAACAACATTCAAAACATTGAAAAAAAAAAACATTGGATTTTAACAAAATCCAATAGATGATTCTAAAAGCAGAACATGAGAACCCGTTTGCATGAGGAATGTCTACTTGGTATACTGCTAAACTTAAACTGTACAGTTTGATGAGTTATTAAGAGTGTCGCATTGATTATCAGACCTCATTCAGTCCAATTTAAAATGCAAGCATACTGGCCAAACACTATGGACTTTCAGTGGCTTGTTTAAAGAGTGAACCTAAGGTTTTAGAGTAGGTTTGGAGCTCAGGTTGTGGTTGGTTGTCTCACTGAGCTGATTCATTGTTCCGCAGATGTTTCATTACCCTGCTGGGTAACATCATCAGTGCAGCCTCCAATGAGGCGCCATTGTGTTTTCCCACCTGTTATTTAAACTCTGGTGTCCATTGAGCTGGATTACCTCACTTCTTGTTTTCCTTCGCAGTGGAGTATATTTCGGGTCGAGCTCTAGGTTTTTGTTGATGGCTTTCTTAGAGTACCAGGCTTCTAGGAATTCCCATGCTTGTCTCTGCTTTGCCTGTCCCAGGATCCTGGTGTTTTTCCAGTAGAATTGGTGGTTCTCCTTATTCATGTGGATAGAGATGAGCAAGTATTGGTCATGTCTTTTTGTAGCCAATTGATGTTCATGTACCTTTGTTGTTAATTACCTTCCTGTTTGTCACAGTCTCCGCAGTGACTGTTGTATATGGCATTGGTCCTGTCCATAGTGGGTAGTGGGTCTTTGATTCGGTGAGCAGTTGTCGTAGGGTTGATGTGGGTTTGTGTGCTACACTGATGCAGTGGTCGTAGGTGTCTTGTGGTCAGTTCAGATGTGTTCCTGATGTAAGGTAGTGTGATGAATGTGTCGGGGCGTGTAGTATCTTCCTGTTGTCGTTCATGTAATAGGCATCTTCTGATCCAGTTTTTCGGGTATCCATTGTCTTTGAATACCTGGAAGAGGTACTCTTCTTCTTCTCGGCGTAGCTCTGTGCAGCTGCAGTGTGTTGTTGCCCGTTTAAATAATGTTCTCACGCAACTTCATTTATGTGTGTTAGGGTGGTTGCTGTTTAAATTCAGTACTTGGTCAGTATGTGGCTTTCCTGTGTACCTTTGTTAGGAATTCCCCATGTGTCCTGCACCCTACCATGATGTCCAGGAATGGGAGCGGTTTGTTCTTCTCCTCTTCTGTGGTGAATCTGATTCCAGCGAGGCCGTTGTTTATTAGTTCCTGTGTCTCCTCCAGTTTGGTCCGTTTAATGATGACAAAGGTGTCGTCCACGTAGCGTATCCACAGTTTTGGTTAGATTAGCGGAAGGGCCGTACTTTCAAGTCTCTACAACACTACTTCGGCTATTAGTCCGGAGATAGGTGATCCAATGGGCGTCCCGTTGATCTGGTTGCAGATACTACATGTCCCGACACACTCATCATACTACCTTACAATCAGGAACATATCTGAACTGACCACAAGAGTCCTATGACCACCGGGCATCAGAGTGGAAGCAGGCCATTTGACCCATCAAGTCCACACCGACCTTCCAAAGAGCATCCCACTCAGAATCGCAACCCCTACCATCCCTGTAACCCTGCATTCCCTATGACTAATCCACCTTAACTCCAAATCCCTGGACACAATTAGCAATATACCATGGCCAATCCATCCATCTTGCACATCTTTGAACTGTGGGAGGAAACCAGAGGAAACCCTGCAAACTCCATAGACGGTTGCCCATGGGTGGAATCAAACCCAGGTCCCTGGCACTGTGAGGCAGCAGTGCTAATCACTGAGCCACCATGCTGAAATATTTCTCATTTTCTCCTTAAGTGAATCCGTTTGAATCAAGCAAGGAAGAACATTTCTTCACTATACTACTACTAAATAATGTGATGAGATTTGCTAGTGAGAAATGCCAACATGTGGATACCAAGAATTTACACTTTCAGTTTTAAATTAGGATCTTAACTGCGTTGGCTCATTTTGACAGAGCTGTTTTTCCATAAATGTTCTTAACATTTTCTGCTAAGTATCAAATAGACAAGTACAATGCTTAAACTGTGGAACAACATTCCTGGTGTCAGAGCAATCCTGAAGACCAGTGGTGTCACCATGAGCTTATTGCAGCAGCTAGCAAGCAAAAAGATGCCAGTACTTCAACACCCATCTGGATACACTCGAATCAGAAAACAAGGTGGTGCCATATTCCACTAAGAGACTGGGAAAGATGAATACCAGCATGCTGGAGGGCTCTTCAAGGCACACAAATTTGTCAGGATCTTCCCAGATCCTCTGCCAGTAACCATGAAGAATTCTACCACACTGCTGCAAGCAAGCCCTATATGTCTTGTCCATCCAGAAGATCCTCCATTTATTAAAGGTCATGGGGAAGACAAATGCAAGGATTTGTCAACAGTGCTATTAAAAGCCACTTGCAAAATAATAACCTGCTCAGTGATGCTCTGTTTGGGCTCTACTAGGGCCATTCAGCTCCTGATTTCATTACAGCCTTGGTCCAAATATTGATAAAAGACCTGAACTTCCAACCATGTAGTTCTCCATCAGTATTACACTGAAGTGCCAGTCTCGGCACTTAGTGCTGAGGTCACTGATGTGGTAATTGCCATCACAGTTTTTGACTTTTGGTTAGAATGTGTTATCACTAATTATCCAAAGATAAACTATTTAACAGCATTAGCCACTAGTGAATTAGTCACTGCATATATTATCGTATTTCTCTCTAATGTGTCCATAAACCTCCCATGCCTTTTCATTCATGGTTGGTCTGTCCTTTCCCCAAACCTCATTCCTGGGTTGGGTCACATGCGGACATGGTACTGCAATTATTTGCTAGTGCTACATTCAGGATTGTTTTGCAAGAAGCTCCCTCACTGTTACGGTCTACCATCAGGTGTACCAGAAGGAAGGAAGTACATGCTGATAACCAAGCCATAATCGCCACATTTGAATGCACATTCTATGACCAACATGATGTTGGGCTTCGGTCAGAAGCTCCTGGTACAAAGTTATGGACACCACCATTATACCAGAAGATCTCCCCATCATTCATTAGCACCTCAACTGGAAACTATATTTGGAGAGGGATGCAAAATTATGTTCTCCAGTTGTAATTAAAGTCTTCTGTTGCAGTACTGACTTAGTACTTCTTGGCTTTATAAAAAGATCTAAGAGCCATGATTATCTACCGAAATTCTATAGACCTCATGTCAACAGAAAATTAACAGCATTCATACAAAAAGCTTGCTGTTCAGGAAGATGGGGTAGTGCCTGTGATAAAGATCCATGTAAGAAAACAATGGAAATCTTCCCGTGATTACAGTTTTACAAATGTGTTCATTGTCTCTGGAGATACAGCTCATTTGTGAACACAAGAGCCAATTCAAATTCAGCAACTGTACTGAACAATTGTATTATACTGCATGTTTCCTATACATACCTCCAACAAACCACCCTAGCTCTTCAAAGGATCAAAATATGCTTAGTTTATTAACGACACTACGAATCAAAGTAAATCCTCTAAAGAAAAGCAAAACACAGACTGTACTGGAGATCTGAAATTAAAACAAAGAGCTTGAGAAACTCAGGAGGGTCAGCAATATCTATGAAGACAGCAAAAGAGCTATGCTTCAAGTCCAATATGACTTCTTCCAAATGAAATCAACTTAAAACCTATTATACTGGGGAAAACTGTGATTCACCTTAAGTTTTAAATTTCAGCAGCCATTGTTGCCACAGACACCAAAATTTCAGCTCGAGACCCATACTTTAGGAAGCCCCGACTTAGATCAAATTTCAGATGACTGGAGTTATCAACACTGTTGGGAATCAGCAATCTTGGAAAATTTTGGACATTACTCCAATAAACACAGTCGGCATAGTTCAGAAGTTCAACTTTTGAATTTCTTAAAAGGAACATAATAGACCACGATGTAGGTTTCAAAAGCACTTGGTACTATTCCACGCAATAGAGTACTGCACAGGTTGAAATGAGAGTGGAAAATGGTTTGTTTGTAGCCAAGCAGACAGTCCTAATGCATGATCAGGTATTTGATCAACAGTTAGTTACCAGTGAAATGACAAGGTTGAGTGTTAACATTCAGATAATTTTCAGGAATAAATACCCAGCATGTCAAATTTGAAAGCAATAACAAATGATGATTATAAAATTGGCTTTGTAAAGAAACTAGACTGGTTCTTAGCAACAAATCTGATCCAGCATCATTAGAAACCCAAAAAGTTAACATCATGGATGGCTAGGGCAGTTGGACTAATCTCTTCTCTGCTACAAAAACTTTTCATGTGAACTAAATTGCTCACAATGAAGATAGTTCGGAATTTAGATTTTTCCTTAGAATTATGTGTTGCATGTTTTACCCACCTAAAATGTTGATAAAGAGCTCATAGAACTCAAATGTTAGCAATGGCTGCTTTGTCTTTTGAAAGTAATCTGTTATGGTCTTAAACACATCTCTTTCAAACCCTGGGTACATGGGTCGGTTCAAATCTGTTCCATTTGGCCCTGAGAAAAAGAACAAGAAATTACAATTATATACAGAATTTGGAACACCAAACTATATACTACAGCAAGACATTTATGCTCAAGTCTGAACTTGGAACAATTATGACTGAAGTGAAAACCTGAGATTCCAGAAAAAGCAGTAAAAATGCATTCTGGATAGTTGTTTGAAGTCCGCTGGAAGCTTGTTTGGAGGAAGAAGGACTAACTCTTGTAATGCCTTCCTGTGTTCTACTCTCCTAAGATAAAGGTGAGATATTAGCCCTGGAAAACCTTGGAATTATATGTATTTCTTTTTAATCCCCTTTATTAACAGCCCCTTCTCTTGCTACTGCAGCACCAGTATTTTCAGATAAACAGACATCTAAATCAAGCTGAAATTACTCCTGCCTCTCACCACTCCAACCATGAGAATTTTCTCATAGCAAGGGATCAGGACACGAAACTGATGAGGGGGGAGATTCAGGGATTGGAAGAGATCCCCAACTCAAATGTTTGACAGCAAGGTGGTGCATTAGAGAGTAGGAGAGGCTGTAAACCAGGGGATTGGGGGTCAGAGAACAGTGGGCAAGATGACCAAGAGGACCAGAAAGTACTGTTAAAGCAAAAGTTATAATATTTCATATTTAAACTTTAATTAGATAGACAAAATAGTACAATCTTCCTTTTTTGCATCAGGAAGGTCCTACAGAATCTAACTACAGCTTTTAAATTTCACCTAAAGTCTTAATTTTCAGGAATGCAAACACAACTTCAAGTGAAAACTTGTTATAACTGCTACTTGGAGCCTCTCCAGTCTCAAATTTTGAAGTATAGTCTCTGCCTTCAATGGGAGTATGCTTATTATCCACAACATATAAAATCATTATTTACTGCATATAAAGCAAATATGGAAAAAAAGCAAAGAAAAAAAAAAAGCAAGGGCTAAATCTATTTCCACCGTTTAGAAGATAAATCATAGCAATGATGAAAGCCATGAGCAAACCTCAATATCAAGACTCAGTTACATATCATCTCCAAACAAAGAAAACCTGTCCAATGCTTCTGCTCAAGCTTAAAACTAGGAATCTGTGTTACATGTATTTGAATAGTTTACAGCCACAATGTTTCAATTCTGGATCCAATTTAGTGTAGTTGCATTTCAGAATAGTGTAACCAAAAATATCCCCTTGCAAAAACAGAGTGCATAAATATATTCATCATTCAAAAAGAAAGGTACACAAGTAAAAGAAATGCATCCTCTGCTGCCTTTTCTGTCATTTAAACTACAACAATGCTAGGTTCAAGGAATACAGTATATGCACCAAGTTTCTAAGGGCTATACAGTCTATGCAGTTGCATACACTGAGTACATAGCACATCTGTTACTTTAAAAATTGCTAGCATTTGGCTATAATGTAATTCCCATGTTGCACTCTGGTATAAAACAGTACCACTAGATGTTTTCCAATATCTCCCTGGCAAAACAAACAAGGGCAGGACTTATACAATTAGCGGTAGGGCCGAGGGTCCTAGGAACTTTGAACATAGGAGTTGGAACGTCATGTTGAGGTTGTACAGCATGTTGGTGAGGCCTTTTCTGGAGCACTGTGTCCAGTTACAGTCACCCTGTTATAGGCAGGATATTATTAAATTGGAGAGGGTGCAGAAAAATAGGCTGAGACTTGTTTCCTTGGAGCACAGGAGGTTGAGGGGTGACCTGAGAGATTTATAAGGGCATGAGGGGCACAGATAAGGTTAATGACCAGGGTCTTCTCCGTAGCGCGGAGGAGTTCAAAACTAGCGATCATATTTTTAAGGTGAACAGGAGAAAGACTTAAAGAGGACATGGAGGACAACTTTTTTTTAAATTTCCATCGGAGCAGTTCGTGTGTAGAATGAACTGCCAGGAGAAAAAAGTGGTGCATACAGGTACAGTTACAACACTTAAACGACATTTGGATAAGCACATGAGCAGGAAAGGTTTAGAGGGATAGGAGCCAATCACAGGCAAGTGGGAGTAGTTTAGTTTGGGAACATGGTCAGCATTGACTAGATGAATTGAAGGTCCTGTTTCCATGCTCTATGACTGTATAAACATTACTTATGAAACTATGTAAAACATGCAAAATGCCATGATCTCAGTCAGGAATGCACCACACAAGTGAAAATGCAACCACTAAGATTCATTCTGCAAAGTAGAAAATTCTGACTCGTGTCCAATTCGTCCATGGGTATGTTATTTCAAACAATGTCACAAATCAGATCATAGATTACTACATTATTACTTACAGTTTGCCAAACACTTCATGGCTGACAGAACCCAGTGTGGAAGCTCTTCTGTTTAAAAGATGGAATTTAATCATTTTTAGTACTGAAACATCTTGATATGTCTTTCTGATGAATAACAAGAACTTTTAAAAAATAAAATTAAACCTTGAAGGGTTAAAGAAGATTTTATTATGTTCACTTTTTTCTCTAAATTTTTTAAACATTTATAAAAATCACCATTTTGTGAGGATGCTTTTGTTTTAAAGGAACTTTCTGCAATTTCTACATTCAAGTCAAAGTAGAAGCATGTTCAGGTGCAGGATGAAAATTGTACAGATCCAAAGCCTAGTCCTTGTTAATCTCAGCTGGGAAGCAACACCAATTTTGCACTGAGTCTTGGTGAGCCAGAGTAAGGAGGGATAAAAGAAAGATACTATTTGTTCCCTTAATTCCCACATAGCAGCTCTGACCAGAAGTTTGCACTTCAGATATGTTGCAAGAACCAACACAGCAATGATTGTCAATGTTTCAGAATAGCCCACTACTTCTGCATTTTCAAGAAGCAACTTGGTTATTAAGTCTTGGGCAATGAACTAAATGACTGCCAGCATAAAATGTACCAATAAAAAAACATTAGTATTTTCAAATCAGGTAAGAGGAAGAAGAAAATTAAAAAAAATTTATAATCAAAAAATGCAAGTAGGTAACTTGCTCTTAAAATCAGAATCCAAGAAAATTGACAATTACTCTGCTCATTTGAGTGAATGTTTAGTTCAGTATTTAAGAATTTGGATTATGTAAGAATACATACCCTGTTTATTTTCTAGAATTACTACTCCTTGTTTATTAATATGTTGAACATTATAGATGATATGCTTGGGATTGAGTAGTTTGGAATCCAGAACTCCTTCTAGACAAGCAAGGCCAAGAATCTTCTGTAAACTGAAAGGCAAAACAAGTCAATATAAATTTCTGTATTATTCTTTTTACCTCAGACACAAAAGTGCATGCAATACGCAGTAAAATAGGCTTGTCATAAATCTAGCACAAATTATTTTATGATTTGACCATGTACCAGGAACAAAAATATCAAAAACTCATTCATTGTATTAGTCTGGTTTATTGCAGCTTTCTTTTTAATTTTCAGAGCAACTTTTCATATTATTGGGTAGTAACAGGGTTGTAACTATACTCAAACAGCTTGCGTAGAGTCAGAGCTAGTTCTTCAGCAGAAGTCTTCAGTACAACTGCTAGGATGTTATTGGTGTCATAGCCTTTGTCACATCTAATAGATTAAGCCATTTCTTAATGTCATGTACCGAATGCTCGTGTTTCTGATGCTAGGAAACATCAGAAGCATGCCAAGATAGATCAGCCACTTCCAGCTGAAGAAAGTAGCTTCAACATCGACTAATTTTCCCCACAGCACTTGCCTGTCTCTAGATACTAGTCTAATGACATTACCACGATGTCAACAACTAAGACAACCAACACCAGCAACGAAACAATTAATTTACAAGCAGTGCCTAATAGGGTCAGTACAACAATGGCAAACATTAAGGAGGGTCAGAAGAGGGGGAATGGATTCCATTAACATGGAATTGGAGGGGGAAATCATAAAGATGTGCTCCAGTAAAGAAGGCTGGTGTCAATACTTTTATTTACTCTGTTCAGGAATATCTCTAGGACAGGTGGGCCTTGAACCTAGGCCTCCTGGCTCAGAGGTAGGGACACTACCACTATGTCACAAGAGTCCACCCAAGAGTCCAGCTCTTGATATTTTCTGATCAATCTGTTCAGAGAGGTCATGACACTTCTGGAGCAGATGAGATTAGATAACATGACTATTGAGCATCAACTGCTTTCAATCAACTCTGAAGCTGTTCTGATTTACCTTTAAAAAGGGACCTGAATTTCTAACATGGTCAGTACTGGCTGTATACACCATACCAACACCTCAGATTCTGACCTGAAAACTCAAAAGACAAAGCCAATTGTCAGCTGCTGCTCAACTATTCTATGGAACAGCTCACCCAATTTGGATATAAATGCCCAAATATTACTAAGATTAGGACTTTGCAGCATTGACTGGATTGGATATCCAAGTCAATGTCTGATAATAGTCACGGACTTGAAACATTAACATTTTCCACTATTCACAGAAACTGATGTCTGGGTCATTTCTACTCTATAGCAACACTTTTGAACATTTTATCAAAGAAAATGCAGTGGCATTAACATCAATAATAATTGTGGGTGGGGTGGGGTGGGATAGAGGATGAAAGGAGACATGCAAGGAAATACTGAAGAGCAAGAAAAGAGAAATAAGAACTGGACACACTGTGCTAGGGTCATTGATTTCCAGATTTCTTCCACAGTTGCCTGTGAAACCTCTTCCCGATGTACAATTCTACATTCAGATACTTCTCCAATTGCAATGCTATGGCGCTTGTGCCACGAGTAAGAATTCTGCAACAGATCATAAAGGAGGCCAGTTGGTTGGCTGTAAAAAATAATATTCAGGTATGCAAAGATTCATCCAAGCTTAAAAGTTATAAAACAATATAACAATGTGAAAATCACCATAGTTGCAGAGAATCTTGGGCTGCTCTCCCAAAACAGAAGGACAATTGGCACAGAGTTTAACTTGTGGGTCACCACACCTCAGACAAGGTTAAGGCAGCACAGCCTTCAATATCCTCAGCCAGTATGGGAAATGTGCCTGCCCTGTTATCAACATACTGCATCACAAACCAGCCAACTCAATTAACTGACACCCAATAATTAAATGTAACTACCAATCATACAGACTATAGAAGTTCCACTGGCAAGATTAAAAAAATTCAACTATGATTTTTAACCCATGTGGCACTGTGTACATTGCTAAAAGGCTAATTGACCCATCCTTCTTGAAAGGCCTAACACATCGTGAATGCAAGCATTTTGCACCTCAAATTACATTTGAAAATGCAGTTGTGGTTATGCATCATGCATGTATTTATGAACAGTTATTCAGGGCAGATGGTCAACTTTTTTGGATTGAAACAACTTTCAGAGAGCTGTGCATGCTTCTCCTTGAAGATAATGAAGGCAGAGGAGAAATCTTTAGTCTCGTGAAAATAAGGGTTATGGAGAGTATGTAGGGAGATGAAACCTAAGATTAGTCGTAATGCCACATTTATTTAAATGTGTGTGCAATGGAGACAAGGAGCCACTTGCTGACGCCTTAAAAAAAAAAAAAAGCAACTTTGTATAAAACCTTAATTGGGAATCCTGCTTTATGGAAAATAAAACTCAGCCATGTGCCATCTGGTCTACAATATTCCAAACACCAAAAGTTTGACTCAACAATCCTAGCAAGCCACTCCGTTGTATTAAACTACAATAAGTAAATACAAGACTAACAAAATCAGACAGAACATCAGTATTGGATTCAGATACAAAGCTTCATCCAACAGGCCTACAGGACTCCCCCTAATCGCGTGTGGAAACTTACGTCAAAGTAGGACAATCATCCCACAATTTAGTCAAGGAATAGTGTGACATGCACATTTGTTATCCTATCTTTTAGCCAATATCTCACTCCATCACCATTCTGGGTTGCATCCTGAACATGAGTAGAAGTTAGAAGGGAGTGTCCCTGGACAACCCTCAATATGATTCTCATAGAATCAGGTCAAACTGACCCTCATTATCTCATGAACTGAGGCAGGAGAGAAGTAACTCTTCATGTTAATAAAATTTGATAGTAGAGGGTAGCAAAGGCACAGATTATGCTCTGGGTGGTGCCTTTGAATGCCCATCATCAACAGGGTTGGTGTGCCACCACTGATCAAGTCCTAAAAGACACAACTGGTGCAAGCCCAGTCTGATGGCTGAAATAACCTTTAACCAGCAGCTCAAAGTTCTGTAGCTAGCCCTGGCACCTTGAAACGTAAATAGGAGTGGCTATTTAACAAACTACAGAAGGAAGAACATTTAAATATCCTCATTCTCAGTGACGTAATCCACCACTTGAAGACAAAAGGCTGCGCATTAAGTCTTGACAAATGGGGCTGACCATGCAACATTAAAGATGTGCCCAAAGACACTGGCTATAGGAAAAGCTAAAAAGAGACCAAAAGCAACCTGTAATGCCAGAAAGTGATCTTCCGGAATTAGTTCTGTTTCTAGCCAAACTATTTGGAATATTGACACTGACCTGATAGAGAAAAACAGACCAGGTATATTCTACCATTTTAAAAAAAGCCAAACTGCCAAGAAGATGGAGGGCATGACTGACCAAATTAGCAAGTATCATACATCACTGGAGTAGACGGCTGGAAATGCAGCCCTGCTATCCCCAGAATTATCAGTTAAAAGCTAAAAATTTTATAAAAAGTACGCAAAATTCCTCAATTTATTTGTCTTTTTAGACTCAGGTTAACAAAGTACAGGCCAGGTTTCTGTTCTTAAAATGTACCGGCAAATAACTAGGTTCTATCCATAGTTCAAACTCTAACCCCAAGCCCCTTATGAAACCACCTCCTATACACACAGGCAGATTAAAAGAATGGTGTTATGGGTAGAGAGAAAGACTGGGAAGGCTGTTCATGGTCCCTGTCGACAGGGCTGCTGAGATGATCCTTTTCACTTGCCAGCACTTAAGAGTCATACAGCACAGAAACAGACCCTTCGGTCCATCCAGTCCATGCTGAACATCATCCCAAACTAAACTAGTCCCACCTGCCAGCACTTGTCTCATGTCCCACCAACTTTTTCCTATTCATGTCCTTATCCAAATGCTTTTTAATTGTTGCATTTATAATCGACATCCACCACTTCCTCAGGAAGTTCATTCTACACATGAACCACGCTCTTAAAAAAAAAAAACTTTGCCCCTCGTGTCTTTTAAATCTCTCCCCTCACACCTTAAAAGTGTGTCCCCGTCTTGAAACCCCCCACCTCCAAGAGAAAAGGCAACTACTATTAACCCTGTCTATACCCCTCGTGATTTTATAAACTTTCTTGATGGTGTCATGCTTCCTGAGTGTTGATGGAGCAGCACCCATGTGGGGAGTATTCAATTGTGCTTGGACCTGTACCCTGTAGATGATGCTCAGGCTTTAGGGAGTAAGGAGGTGAGTTACTCACTGCAGTATTCCTAGCCTCTGATCTGCTCTTGTAGCCATTATGTTTATGAGACAAGTCCAGTTGAGTTTCTAGTCAATGGTAACCTCAAGGATGTTGATGGTGGGGATTCAGCAATAGTAACACCACTGAATGTCAAGGATTGGTCGTTCAGTTTTCTCATTGGTGATGGTCATTGCCTGGCATTTGTGTGGCACAGATTATACTTGCCATTTGTCAGCCCAAGCCTGGATATTGTCCAGGTCTTGTTGCATTTGAACAAGGACTGCTTCAGTATCTGAGGAGTTGCAAATGGTACTGAATATTGTGTAACACTCGGCACGCGTCTCTACTTCTGATCTAATGAAGGAGGGAAGGTCATTGATGAAGCAGCTGAAGACGGTTAGACCTAGGACACTTACTTAAGGAGCTCCTGCAGAGATGTCCTGGAGCTGAGATGACTGAACTCCAACAACCACATGTTGATCCTTGATCTCTCTTCTCTGGGTACTTTCACTTGCTTTCAGGAGGCATAGAGTGCCTCACTCACAAATAATAAGACATCTCCGATTTATTGTTTAAAAGCAATTCTGCTATATGGAAGCCATTCCCATAGTTTTTGGAAGGCAGACAGCCTTTGAGTTCAACAACTGGTCATCACTCCACAGACCAATCAGCTATTTGTTGCTGACCAAATCTAATTTTGTACAAACCCCAGTGCCTGGTCATCCACAGCTAAATTTACCACATTGGTTGAATAATAATATAAACAGCACTTGAAACTAAGTTAATTGCAGCAATCACTTCTACGAAAGCTTCTTTTCTCCCCTTAAAAAAAGTCCTTTTATTTTTAATCATGGATTAAACTGGGAGAGAAATACAAAGTTTCAGTTCTTACACAAGCAATACTTAATCAATAAATAGCATGCTCACTGGTACTTTCTCTATTCATTCTCAGGACATGGCCATTACTGGTTAAACCAGCACTTATTTTCCATTCTTAATTGCTCAGAGGGCAGTTACGCGTCAACTGCATGTAAGCTAGACCAGGTAAGAATGAAAGATGTAAATCAGATGAGTTTCTATTTGCCCAGGACAATATAGCTACAAATCTTGTTAAACTTTTGATCAAACATGAACAAAAGAAAAAAGTAAAATTGAAAGGTTAATGGACAATAACTGCATTGTGTTAAGGCCACATTTAACAGCAATCCACACCAGCCATCAGGAACTAAACCAAACAGCCCCGCATGAAGTTGAGATACTGAGGCTGCATGTAAACATACCTTCCTTAATGGCACTTAAATCTGACTTAAAGACAGAAATGCCACTATGTCCCCACAAGACCGACATGCACCCACCTCTCCCCGACTCTGCAAAAATCACGTACACGCCAATTAATATGCATCAGCTAAGTTCAATTAACACTCAGGTCCAGGCAAGAGGGAAAGAAAACTTTGGCTACCATGTAATTTCTTACTACAAAAGAAGCATATGCTCTCTCACATCCATGCTTGTTTCAAGTCTCCAAACAAAATTTAGCATCGAGTTTTCAATATCTAATTAGGTACGGTCCACATGAACATCAAGATATACAGTACATGCATTTCATTAATCAAGTGTGAATTGCAACTGAATGGAAATATTAAATGAACTCCAAGTATCTTACCAAAATTATCGGCCTTACTGGTACAGGTCCAGACTTCGGAACATCATAGTCATTCCAATTTGGAAATTTAGGATAAACGTCACAACCTAAATAAGGTGACTTTTTGGGATAAGGCTTAAGAGGAGATGATGGTGGAAACCTGTAAATCAAAATTAATATATCATGCAATGAGTTTACTTACACAATGGTCAATGATTTTAAATTGTTATAAAATATACATTGACAAAGGGGCTTTGAAAGTTATTCTCATGTGATATGGACATTACTAGTTGCATGTGTTTGCTGGGCGAGAACGTGTCTAAACCTTAAATGTAAACTGCAAAATTCCAACCTAATTTTGCACAAATTAAAGTGAAATCTACAGTTTAAAATTCAGTAGTTATGAGACTTGACCAGGATTATTTTCAAAGAATTGGAAAAGCAGCCTAATTACGACTGGCTCAAACTAAATCCTCACTAACTGTCTCAGATAAACTGTTTGTTTTGGTAGCATACAAGTAGGCAACTTCGCACATGAATGCGTGACTTAGAAGACAGTGCTCGAGTTAGGACTCGATGAGCTTAATGGAGAAAGACAGGTGTTTGGTTGCTTTTGCTAAAACTAAGTAGCTTGTCTCAAGTGAAACCAGTATTCAATTTGTATTTAAGTATCAAGTATTTTTTTTTCTCCTTTCTTTAAAAATTGTTTATTAGGTACAAGATTAATATTAGTGCATCAAAAAAAATTCAATAAAGTGCTCAGAGCAGGATTCTTCAAGTGTAAAGGGCAGGGATGCAACACTGATTTAATTAATAACAAATAAAATGCAACAGTCATGACAGGTCAAGTGATGTGTTGCAGCTGCAGCATGAGTGTTGCTGGACAGCAAGGTGATTTACAAATACATCAAAGTGTTTGCAGGTTGAGCAACTTTGGATCAAGAGGAGGAGCTGGAGTCAGAGCATTTTGCCAAACTACGGAGGAGTAAAGTTACCTGGACACTGTGTTCCAAGAGGCAGTCTTGAAGTCTTGATAGCTAACTCAAACTTGGTCTGTGATCTAGGACGTGACAGTATGACTGTAGGTAAGACATGTATGAGGTGTAATGATGTAGTCGTCAAGGATCCTCTGTCCCTGCAACCATCCAAAAGTTAGAAGACTTTTGCAAACTGTGTGGATGAGTGGGGAGTGAAGGGACAATGAGTGAACATCATGAAACGGAGTCATTCAAATTTGGGGCAGTTCAGGGTGGGGAGAAATAGGAATGTAGTAATAGTAGGGGACTCGATAACTAGGAGGATAGATACAGTTCTCTGCAACTGTGACAGTAAGTGCTGATGGCTGTTGTTGTCTGCTTGGTAACGTCTCTCTTGCTTGGAGAGGAAGAGAGGAACTTGGATTAGGAGGGGAAGATCCAATTGTTGTCATCCATGTTGTACAAACATTGATAAGATGGGTGAAGAAATTTCTCCTCATATCAGCCCTAAATAGTCTACGACTGTAATTCCTGCTTCTAGACTCCCCGCCATCAGGCACATTGTTTCTACATCTACCCTGTCTAGTCCTGTTTAAATTTTACAGGTTTCTGTCAGATCCTCTTATTCTTTTAAACTCCAGTGAATACTGTCCTATCCAATCCAGTCTCTCCTCATAGTTGGAGAAATCTAAAACCAGAGATTACAATCTCAGACTAGATGGTCATCGACTCAAGACAGATAAGGAAAATATTTTTCTGAGGTCAGTCAATTGGTGGAATTCTTCACTGCTGAGGGCTGTTGGGTCTAGATTATTAAGTTTATTCAAGGCTGAGACAGACATTTTTTTCAATAAGGCAACCAAAACTTATAGGGAAAAGGCAAAAAAAAAAAAAAAAAAAAAAAAAGTTGATAATTGTCAGATTAGTCATGATCTCGTGGAATGACAGAGTCAATGTCCTACATTTACTCCTGAGTCTTATAGGCTACTGTTACAGCCAGCATTTATGTCCTATCTCTAATTGTGCTTGAAAAAGAGGTGGTCAGTCATATTTCTTTGCTGCAGTCCATCCACTACTCTGGCATGGGATTTCCAAGTTTTTGGATGAGTGACAGTGGCAACAGCAATACAGTGCTAAGTGGCTGCATTTATTCTGCACAGTAACATTAGTAAAAATGGATTTTGTTCCACAGCAACACCGCAGTTTGAGTTCACAGTCTGCATTCAGAATAAGCAAACTGAGCTGGCAATAAACTGAAGTGAAGAGATGCCTGGAGTATGTATTGCCCTACTTCATTTAGATTGGCCATCAAATTTGCATTCGACAAGTCGATTTTTGGTTTGACAAACAAGAAAAAAAAAAAATTGACAAATTTTTCAATATAGAAATGACTGTGCAGTTCACCTCTTGCCGTCTACCCAAAAGTTTCCACTAAGCTTGTTTTATTAGGATTGGATTATGGGTTCGAGAGAAATTTTATGTAATCTAGATTAGACTGTCAGTTGGTCATAACAGAACACGAATCTAAAGTAACACTTGCTTTTGGAGATGCGACCGATCTAAAAACAATTATTTGAGTCTGCCACACACAGCATAAAAACTTGGAGGTTGATGAGTCTCCTGGTCAAAGATGGTAAGAAGATGAGAAAAATGTCATCACAGACTAGACTTGCCCCAAGTTATGCATTAGGCAAGCATAAAATTAAAATTTCAAGAGGATTGCAAGTTCTACAGAAAAATGGTGCCTGGCTGAGAAAGGAAAGAACATACAAGTTTGTTTTAAAATGTGATTTTTTTTGTGGAAACATGAAAACCTCTAAAATTCAAACTAAAAGAATAAAAGGATTGGAGAGATGAATAAACAAAATTAAAATATGCGAGTATGGAAGGCAGTTGGTATTACTATTAAGGCAACCCTGCAGAGAAGCAAAAGGATATGCCTATGTCAAGAACTTCAGCTCAAGGATGACATTGCATTGGAGTAAACTTAGCATTGGTACAGCACTGGGCTAACATGAGCAAAAATGCGTAAGACTAGGACAATGGTAATTTGCATGTTTGACACAGCAGGAATGAATGCAAGTTCAGCTATTCATTGGAAATGCATCAAGCAATGAAATGCTGCTTAATAGACCAAGGCCATAAGGAGATTCAACAGAAAATGGTAAACTAAATACTAAATGGTATGGCTACCACAATCCTAACCGATCATAGAGCTACTCTCTAGTTGGAGACAGCGACCGGTAGTGGTCTAATCCGAGGGTCTGCAATGCAAAGCAACCATCCAAGCAACGGAGCTAACCAACCCCCCATTCATCACTACAAAAGTGAATAATTGTCATACCTGTATAATCGATTATTATCTTCAAAATCTTCTTTTCCCCATCTTCCTTTTATATCTTCAATTACATGGTTTTTTAAGAACTTTTTGAGTAACTGCACAGTCTGGTAACGAGTAACCTCAGGCCCAAAATTGTGATTACTTCTCAGGAATTTATGCAACCAATCAACACCTTCTGAGGCAGCAAAGCAGGAATCATAAGTACGGAAGTGAAGACGATGCTTCTTCAGGGGCATCCTGGCTCGAAATAGCTCAATAGTTTCATTCCACTAGAACAGTCAGGAGGAAAAAAAAAAGTTATCCAACCTATCTGCACGAACAAAGGCATTTTCAAAAGCAAGAATTGAGATTAACCTGCACATAACATCCCATCATGTCTAGGAACATCAACTGATAAAAGGTACAGTTTCAAAATTAGAAGTTTAGACATTAAAGTACCTTGGCAAATCCATGGAAACAGACTGTCATTTGAGGTTGTCATCCTCCTAAGTCTGCTTACCTTTTAACTAGGTCCAGAGTTGGTTTTTAAGAACATAAATAGGAGCAGGCCATTCAGTCCCTCAAACTGCCCTGCTATTCAACAAGATAATGGCTGATCTGGCCCAGGCCTCAACTCCTTTCTTGTGCTAGCACAGCATAGCTGTCAAAGACCTGATACTTCAAAAATCCATTGACCTCCAATTTAAATACTTTCATTGATCTAGACTTCAAAACAGAGGTAAAGAATTCCAGATTATCACTATCCTCAAAGAAGAAATTGCTTCATGTCAGTTTTAAATTAGTTTTAAATTTCGCCTTAAAAATTCTAACTATATGCCCTAATTCAAGATTTCCCTACAACCGGAAACATTAACATCTCCCCTGTCAAGCCCTCTTAGAATCTTCCATATTTCAATAAGTTCACCCCTCATTCTGCTAAACTCTAATGAATAAAGGCCTAACACGCTCAGCCATTCTTGATAAGTCAACCCCTCCATCCCAGGAATTAGCCCTGTGACTCTCTGATGAACTTCTTGCAAGGCCAGTACAGATATTTTTAATCAACGTGCTCAAACATGCTACGACATGTCTTAGGCCAGTGGGACTTGAATCCAGACACTATGTTGTGCCACAAGACCCCAAATGCAACTGAAGATTTGCACAATAATTAATAGTAAACAAGGGCTCGTCCAGGATTTGCCTCAATTTAACTTCTCAGACAGCACCTTCCAAACCCACAACTACTGCCATCTAGAAGGACAAGGGCATCAGACATATGGGAACACCATCACTTCCAAGTACCCCTCCAAGTCATTCATCATCCTGGCTTGGCAATCCATTCCTTCACTGTCGCTGGGTCAAAATCGTGGAATTTCCTCCCTAATAGCATTGTGGGTCAACCCACAGCAGGAGGACTGCAGTGGTTCAAGAAAGCAGCTCACCACTACCTTCTCAAGGGCAACTAAGGACAGGCAATAAATGCTGGCCAGCCAGCAACATCCACATCCCACAAAAATGAATAAGAACTTGCCTCCACCACAATTCCAGACGGTGCATTCCATATCTGAGCCACTCAGGTGAAAAGATTTGTTCTCACATCACAAAATCAGTTTTAAAATGGTGCGGGGTGGGGGGGGGTTCATTTTACAAGCAAGAGCAAATTTTCTTCCTCTCTATTCTGTCCAGCCTCATGATTTTAGAATAGTGCATTCAATTCTCGTCACCCTGCCATAGGAAAGATGTTGTTAAAGTTGAAAGGGTTCAGAAAATATTTACAAGGATGTTGCCAAAATTAGAGGGTTTGAGCCATAGGGACAGGCTGAATAGGCTGGGGTTTTTCGCCCCCGGAGCATTGGAGGCTGAGTGGTGACCTTATAAAGGTTTATAAAATCATGAGGGACGCGGATGGGGTGAATAGCCAAGGTCTTTTTCCCTAGGATAGGGGAGGCCAAAACTAGAGGGCATAGGTTTAAGGTGAGAAGGGAAAGATTTAAAAGGGAGCTAAGGGACAACTTTTTCCACGCAAGAGGACAGTGTGTAGATGGAACAAATTCACAGAGGTGGAGGAGGAGCTGGGCACAAATACAACATTTAAAAGGCATCTGGAGGGTTACATGAATAGCAAGGTTTAGAGGGATACGGGCCAAATGCCAGCTAGTGGGTCTAGATCAGTTTAGCATGGACTAGTTGGACCAAAGAGCCTATTTCCACGCATATATCAATTACTCTATGATTCACTTACAGCTACTCAAACTGAAGTGAATTCTGGAAAAACAGAAATTCCAAAGGATAAGTCAATAGAAATCTTAAATTTTGAAGGGATTAAACACAATAAACGTAGATGTTAGCAGTTGAAGAGTCCAAAACCAGCAATCATACATAATTGTGACTAATAAAATCCAAAAGAACAAAATATTTCAAATTATCAAAAGAATCTTGTATTCAAACATTCATACCGAGTTCAAAAAGCCTTTCAGTGCATCAAGTTTGAGCCGACAGATACAACCCTTAATCTACGCTCGCCCTACTTTCCAGCACTCGACCAATAGTCTTGATTGTTATGGCACTGAGTGCACATCCAAGTACATTTTAAGGTTGTGAAGTCTCCCACCTCAACTACACTCCCAGGCAATGCATTCTAGATTCCCACATTCCAGAGTGAAGAGATTTGGCCTCAAGACCTTCATCTTAAAAATCACATCCTCTCGATCTTGACTCTTGAACTAGGAGGAGCAGCTTTCTTGCCGAACCCCGCCATGCCCCTCAATCAGGTCTCCTCACAGCCTTCTCTGCTCGAAAGAAAACAACTGAAGACTATCCAACCTCTCTTCATAGCTAAACTGCTCCATCCTAGATAACAGCCTTCTCTGTACCCCATATAATCACATCCTTCCTACAGTGTGGTTACCAGCACTTAGTACTTCAACAGTGACCTAACCAAAGTTTTATACAGCTCCAACATTATATTTCACATTCCATTAAAATGTTCCCTATTTTGGAAACTAAATTATATAGTTTATTTATTCTTTCCCTGCAGATTACAAAATATAAAACTCCTAAAAATTCAAAGTTACCAAGAAAAGCCATGTCACTCCTTGCCCTAAAGGCCTATTTAAATTATTTCAGGAACCAAAAAAATTACATATAAACCACTATGGTCTGTACCATTTCCTGCAACTGCCCAAAGTAGTGATCTGATAAGGTGCAATAGTCCCTCCTTGATGTGTAATTATTGTATTTCCTCTAATTATGAATATTTGAGACACAAATACAATTTAATAGGTGTTAAAGTTCAAGTTCAAGGTCTTTAATCGGACTGTCATAAAGCAATGATAGCTTGGTCAAAGAGGTGAATTTTAAGGAGGGTCTTTAAGAAAAAAAAAACAAGTGTGTACGTGAGATAGTCAAGGTGACAGAAATTCATAGACCTTCAGACCCAAAGGGTGGAAAGCATGGCCACCACTGGTGGAATGAGTAAATTCAGGGATGCTCTAAAGGGAAGACTTATAGGAGCACACATATTTTGGAAGGCTGTGGGACTGGAGATGTGAAAAATAAAGAAGGACAAATCCATAGGAGGGGTTTGTAAACAAGGATGCAATTCTTAAAATGGTTTCACTTTTTTGACCAAGAACCGATACAAGTTGAGCAAGGACATGATCAGAGTTTGGGACGGCTGCAGCTGTAAACAGGGTAAAATGTGGGAGCCCAGCCAGGACGGGACAAACTGGTAAAAACCGAAAGAACTGCAGACGCTGTAAATCAGGAACAAAAACAAAGTTGCTGGAAAAGCTCAGCAGGTCTGGAAGGGTCACCGGACCAAACCGGTCCGGAGGCAACAAAGGTGTGGATGAAAATTTCAACACGAGAGCTGAGACAAGGGCAGAATCAGGCCTTTTTAATGGAAGCAAAGTGGTGGCATAGAAATGCAGTTAGATCTCATCTCATGGTCAAAAATCATACCTAGAATGTGAACAGTTTGGTTCAGCGTCAAGCAGCTGTCAGGGAGTGAGAAAGAATCAATAGCTTGGGAAATAAGTTTGTAGCAGGAATGAAGACACTGTCACCTCAATATTTATTTGAAGGAAATTTCTACTCAAAACAACCAGTCTAATAATTTAGCAACAATGATGAAGTATTGTCAGCATATATGTAGAAACACACTTGTGCTCTGGGATATCACCAAGGGCAACATGTATATAATAGGAATGGTTAAGGATAAATATCTGGGAAATACTAGCAGTAATTGCGCAGAAACAGGAAGAGAATTAATTGCAGGTGACATTCTGCCAAAAATTCAACAGATAAGATTGGAATATGGCAAACAGTCCCACCCAATTGGCTGACAATGGAAAAGTATTGAAAGAGGGGGATATCATGGTTAATTGTTTCAAAAGCTGCAGATAGATCAAGGAGGATGAGGAATAGTTTATAAAGAATGTGTATTAATTGAATTAGTTTTATTGTCACATGTACTCAAATGAGTACAGTGAAAAATTTACTGTTGCCACATTACAGTGCCATCTTAGGTACAAAGATTCCTGGGTACAGATACTCAAGATCACATTGGTAGGAAACAAAAAAAATTAGAAAAAGTAAAGGAATAAATAGTCCAACATTATTGGTTATAAGAATAAATTAGAAAAATAAAGAAGTAAACAGTTCAGAATATCAGTCTTTCTGACCCATCAACAAAGGCATCATGCCGCTTTAGGCACCATCTCTTCGCCACTGGGCCCACTTTGCTGATGTCACCTAACCCACACTGGCCCTGCAACCATGAGCCCTTGGGTCCACTGTCAGGCCAGGCTACGAGTCCTGCTTCAGCTGCAGATTTTATCTTGCTGGTGCCACCATCTTGAACACAACATATTTAAAATAACAAATAACACCCCAAGACTCCTCAAACAGATCTGTAACACAAAACAGCCGATAGGAGATGGGACGATATGTTGAGGTTGTACAGGATGTTGGTGAGGTCTCTTCTGGAGTATTGTGTTCAGTTATGGTCGTCCTATTATAGGAAGGATATTGTAAAGGGTTCAGAAAAGAGTTACCAAGATGTTGCCAGGAATAGAGTGTTACAAGTATGAAAGTAGGCTGGACAGGCTGGGATTTTTTTTTTTCCCCCCCCAACTGGCACATGGGAGATTGAGGGGCACCGATAAGGTGTCTTTTCCTTCGGGTGGGGGATTTTAAGAGTGGGAGCTCATTTTTAAGGTGAAAGGAAAAAGAAAGATTTAAAAGAAGGCATGAGGGGCAACTTTTTTTAATTTGAAAAAAAAAAGGC